TGGACCTAAGTTAGTCTATTAAAATCATTGGCCTTTTTTGCTGGTACGTGTTACTACGCTGACATTTGATATCTAGGAACAATCCAGGGGGTAGTCTCATATGATTAAGGATTAAATTAAGTATACGTATCGATATATTATAAGTAAGTATCAAGAAATATTTGACTATCCAATTTCGTAATCCAATGTTCATCAAAATTGTATTATTTCAGTATCTGTACTCCTTACGGATTTTATGTAATTTACATACTACTGTTAAGGGATAAAAAGTCAATTTCTCATATACCTCATGGATAACAACTTGCCTCGAATTCTGATTGGATTAATATTTTATGCCTTTGGTATAAAATGGTGTTATGAATATGCCAAGTATTGGGTATCACTGAGACCCAGAGATAATTCGCATGTCACGAAAGGACTAAGACTCATAGAAAAATGTCAGAAACTTATAAGTGGGCATCCTGTGGAAGGTAGCTTAAAACTGATAGCTACTGCTGTAGGATTAGCGGGTACTGTGACCGGTGGTCTGGAAGAAGCGGGAGCCGTTTCTCCCAAAGTTGTGCTTGCTACAATCTATTTGTTCTTTGCATTCTCTGGTCTAGTCGATGTTCTCAATTTTTATTTCCCTCATAATGTAAGTGAAGGATTAGTGAAATTAGCTCTTGCTCAAAGTTTCTTCATAGAAGGCTTTCTTTTCTCATGGGGCAGTATCGGAAGCAATGCATTGGTCGATAGAATTTTGACTTTCATAGTATGGACAACATCTATGGTTATTATTTTAGAACTTGTGTGGCCAGAACTGAAACTTTTAAGGGCATGTATGACCCTGCTCCATGGTGGTTGGATAGCACACGTTGTACGTGTATACCACACAATGCCAATACTTCCAGAAGGTGTTGCTCTCATATTTTCTTGGCATGTCGCTGCTGCTTCAGCAGTAACATTGTGCATAGTAGTAGCAACAAGAAGTTGTGCCCCTAAACTCATAATAGAAGAGCCACCAGAGATACCTATTTATGATTATTGCCAGGAGCCAGACCAGAGAATGTAGAATCTCTCAGATAGATGTAGTATAATTTTGTGCCAATATAAAACTTCCATAATGTGCGCAAAAGTAATATTTTTAGAGTAGTATACTTGTAGTGCTGTAGCAATAATCAAACGAACCAATTGCAATATTGCACACAGTATTAGTATTTTTTTACTTAATATTTATGACTTCATTTTAAATAACAGAACGAACGACTCTATTTTTGAATACTTTTATACCAATGCAATACGTAGCATAAATTTTGTAATACCTTCCTATTGTAGGAACATAAAATACTCATTAGGAATTGAGAGGTGCCTTATTATTATCGTTGCTCACTTATTTATTGATAAGAAAATGCGTCATTTCGTCTTTTGTAATACGTTTTTCAATTTAACCACGAACGAAATATATTGTACACGCCAAATATTCATCTAATCATACATTGTAAATAAACCATTTCATTGACTTGATAATCTATGAAAATTGTTTTAATACCAACCTACTCTCAGTACTTATACCTCGATCTGATACATTAAGTATTTTTACTTTAGATATTTCTTAAGTTAAAAAATCATTTAACTTACCTGCAATAATTGAAATAATTCCGATCGATGAGACACGTCACTTTTTACAATGAGTTTCACAATTAGACAATAGAGAAAATTCCAAAGGAAGAATTTTGAATTTTTGTTTTATAAGCCTGCCTTAGTTTACTATTTCTTCACTAGGTGGCTACACGTAGTCAGTGACTGTAAACGGGCCAAATTTTCAAATAAAAAAAAGTTATTTATATTATTAATTTATGGTTTTGTAATTGTATATTTTTAATTAAAACTTCAGTACCGTTTTCTCGTCGTGAATTTGGAAACTCAGTACAATTCTAACGATAATAAACATGCACATAGTATGACAACACATAGTTTAAAGTGATCTTAATTATAAATGGTATAATACGGGTGTTCAGTGCAACATATTTTATAATCAGTAATCATGGTTTGATGCTCGACAATCTATAAGTTCTCTAAGAACTAAATAGGCAAACATGGAAATGACAAGCGCAGAGCCTATGGAGGAAAGTCTGGAGAAGGTCCAAGCAAATCCTCCAGTACAAGTCGTGAGGGTTCCTGTAAAGCATGCTAATCTTGGGATAAGGAGCCCTGCAATGTAAGAGAATACTACATAAAAATCTATCGATTAGATAAATATATGATTGTTTATGTTTCAGGGATATGAGCACGATGGTAGAATTGACTTCGTTTAGCACACTTGGAAAAATACAACCCTTTCTAGTTACTATAACAACTACAGCAGCCTTATTGGTGGATTTACATTGTCATTTAACAGATAAAGAAGTTTGTGGCTACCTAGGTGGTCATTGGGACATTAATTCGCATAGTAAATACCTTTCGCAATGCTTAATACAAACGTTACACTTTTAGTTATTAAATATTATTTCATTTAAAATATTAGATCTATCAATCACAACTGCCTTTCCATGTCGATACTCTGGTAAGGATAAATCAGCTGCAGCTGCAGTTGAAGCTGAAATCGCAAGGGCTATGGAATGGAAGCGAGTAACATTAGTTGGATGGTATCATTCTCATCCCAGATCTCATGCTTCCCCTTCTCTTAGGGATGTTGATTCCCAATTGGATTATCAGATTAAAATGAAAGGACCTATTGATAATTGTTACACACCATGCGTGGGTTTGATCTGCTGTAAGGATCTGTCCATGAACTACTATTTATTACATAAAATGCTCTGATTAAAATACATACGAACATTTTTTATTACAGCTCCTTACAATACAGATGGTAGTTGTTATGAGTCGAATTTTAACGTTTTTTGGTCTTTACCACCGCCAGAAAATCGGCCTCATGAATACCCGAGACCAATGCTTCTAAGTTACACATTATCTCAAGAGCATTTTCTTTCTCAAGATACATTAGAAGAAATTGTACGTTTCGTACTGTTTTCTTATTATAGAATAATAATTATGCAAACAGAACTTAATATGGATTGTTAAATACTTGTTTCTGTAGAGAAGGAGTATAGAATATTATAGAAGTGAAGGAGGTATTGACTTTACTGCCAATTTTAATAATAATACGACCTATCTTGAACGTTTAAGGGTAAGTGTATGAAGCATGACTTAGAACTATAAGCAATAATAAAATGCGATATCTTAAGTGTTCTTTAGCGTCCAAGTTACCCGGTCGTAACAGATCGAATGGTTCATACTGGGATGTAATTAGAGAAATGATTTGTCCTGGTACAGAGGATGGATCAACACCTGAAGTTCTCGCTATGAAATTCCCATTGGTACCGCCAGTCTCCGATTCACTTGTCTCATCGGTTCCAGCAGGAATTGGTCTTCCACCTAATAACGCGCCTGTCTTCCTTACGCCTGTGAACTTCAAGCCCGATGGTGCTATAATTACTCCTACATCGAAACCTTACGTTATGCAACCATCCACTTCTAGAGACAGTATTAAAAAAGATATTCTAGCTACGGATAGCGCATCTATTACGCAATTAAAAGATGGGAATTCTTCATCAAAACAACATATGTCGTCATCAGAAATGATGCCTAGCTTCCAATCCGGAGAACTTACAGTTTCTGTGAAAAATACTAAATGCGATTATGATTTTGCACCTGCTGATTTTTCGAAAGTGTCTCTTGGAGCGGATACGGGTGTTAACAAAACGCGATCGTCAGCAACACCCGATTTCCCTTTGGCTGATATAACGCAACAAATTTCGAAGTTCTCGGATTTGTCAAAATTGGCTAATTTTTCCACCACGGATTTAGCGAAACTCTCTGGATTTCCTATTCCAGATTTTGCGAGAACGTCGTCACTGTCACCGTCCACATACATGCGTAATATCGCGAATCTCTTCGGTCAAATGGGTAAGATCTCTCCAGCGAGAGACATCGAAGGAAACGAACGCAAATCAGGCGATTTCAGTATGATTGATACTATACAGTCACCGTTCAAAATATCAACCGGATCTTCAGAACCTTGCAGAAACTTTTCAACAGCCCCAGAGGATTATTCGACCGACCGCATGAAACTGGACGTTCAGCACGATAACGCGAAGCATAGTCGATCAAACGACTATCAAGGAACTGAGGATTTATCTATACCTAAATCTGAATATAGTGGTACATTGGACATGACTACACACAAAAAACAATCACAGGCTAATGATATCGGCGATTCATTAAACCTATCAAAAGATCGTCAGTAGATTAGCTAGACTCATCAGTATTTTACGATTGTGATTATTTCTGTATGTTTTATATCTCGTCATCCATTTAACATTGTCTGTCTGCATGAACGTAATGTGATTTATTATTACTAAATGTAACTTCTATTTTACATTTACTACGCGCGTATTGTTTACGCGCAAATTAAATTATCTTTTGTAATTTTGGGGACACTAAACCATGAAAATGATTTTCACACCTATTGTACTTAATATAGATTAATGTTTTTCAACAACCGCACTAATTTATTCAAATGCGAATCATATACTTTTATAACTTTAGGTTTCCCTAAAAAGTGGTGAGGTACTTCATTCGTTAATTAATACATGCTTTTTGCAAATTAAAGGGCATCTAATATTCATAATATTTCGCCAGACCTTTTTACCCGCGTTTCTACTATATAGATAGGTTGCACCCGTAGTTAGTCATATTCAAAACATTTTAATTCATTCATTTCCTTGGAAAACGAACAATAAATAATTAAATTAAAGATAACAAATATTCTTGAATTTTAAATGTGTAAGTATTCCATATCTTTGGGATGGTGTCAAATGGGGTGTAACAAAGTATGTTATAATGTGCTACCCGTGCTACCTATACTTACATGTACAGACAACATTGCGAATAGAATGTTGCATCATTTTATGTAGTAGTTGCTGGTGTAGTGATATAAAAGCCTTAAACGTATAAATAAGTAAATGAACAATTTTCGAATCTCTAGAAACGTGTAAATTCGATAAATATCATTCATACAGACAATATCAAAAGTATCTGCAGGGTACATAGTTAAAAACAACGTTACAACTTGAGTAGTGGTAGCGGTTAGGTTGTAACATGCCCTGTTCAGGAAATTGTGAGGATTTTATGTAAAAAGTGTTTTTATAAAAACGAACATGTTTCGACCGGCAAGAAGCTTTTTGTCTACATTGAATCGCGTCAAGGAATGTCGTGTAGTGCACACCGGTAGTCAGAATTTATCCGAAATCACAGAATATGAATGTAAGCATTGAAGATTTCATGCAACTTGGATATTTCGTTAATTTTTGTAGACGAACAATGTTTGATTTGTAGCTGTCATCTCGGATGAATATAAAAAAGGTCCTGTAGAAGGCAGAGCTATTTATTTGGATGCCCAATCAACTACTCCAATGGTAAACATGACCTGATATATTGTATCATAGAACTTAATATTTAAATTTAAGTTCCTTCTAATTATCTAGGATCCACGAGTGCTAGATAAAATGATGCCCTACCTAACAACTTATTATGGAAATCCACATTCCAGAACTCATATGTATGGATGGGAAACAGAAGCAGCTGTTGAAGATGCTCGTAAAGTTAATATTATGATTGACTTCATTTTGTTAAAACTAATCGTGTTCTTGATGTGCTTGTAATCAAATATTTCTGTAATAGCAAGTAGCAAATTTGATAGGTGCAGATAAGAAGGAAATCATATTTACATCTGGTGCGACAGAATGTAATAACATAGCTGTGAAAGGTGTTGCAAGGTTCTACAAGGGGAAAAAGAATCATATTGTGACAACTCAGATAGTATGACATTGGACTTTTAATTGTGTATATGATGTTATATATTCACTTTTACATTCAGACTTTTGTTAATATAGGAGCATAAATGTGTATTAGATTCCTGTAGAGCCTTACAGTCAGAAGGGTTTGAAGTAACATATATTCCAGTAAATCCAAATGGCCTTATCGATCTTAATCAATTAGAGGATGCAATTAAACCAACTACTTCTTTAGTTTCTATCATGATGGTAAATAATGAGATTGGTGTCAAGCAACCAATTGCTGAAATTGGTGCCATTTGTAGGTAAGGTGAGACGAGCGTATTCGCTGACACAAGGAGGAAGGAATTGTGTTCAGCAACATTGATTTTTTTTAGGAAGAAGAAAGTATTTTTCCACACAGATGCAGCTCAAGCAATTGGCAAAATTCCAATAGATGTCAACGCTATGAATATTGATCTGATGTCTATTAGTGGTCACAAAATATATGGTCCTAAAGGTACGTGTCATACATCATTTATTCTTACTCTCTAATTATTATTCATATAATTCGAAGGAATCGGAGCATTATACGTAAGGAGAAGACCAAGAGTACGTTTAGAAGCGATCCAAAGCGGTGGTGGTCAAGAAAGAGGTATGAGGAGCGGTACTGTGCCGGCACCTTTAGCAGTTGGCTTAGGAGCAGCTTGTGATTTAGCACAAGTAGAAATGGAGGTAATTTTAAGTATAAAATATTTATATTATCTGTACATACTACTGCAATGAATTTCATTACGGTTTTCTGTCTCCTAGTACGATCATAGGTATATCACAATGCTGTCGAATCGTTTGATCGAAAAAATAATGACAGATCTGCCGCATGTTATACGAAATGGAGATGAAGTAGCTTGGTATCCTGGATGTGTGAATTTGTCCTTTGCGTATGTAGAAGGGGAATCTTTATTAATGGCTTTAAAGAATATTGCTTTGAGCAGCGGCTCCGCGTGTACTAGTGCAAGTTTGGAACCCAGTTATGTTTTACGAGCTATTGGAGCATCAGAGGATCTAGCACATTCCAGTATTAGGCAAGTTTTGCGTCCTATGTGATATTAAATTCAAATTAATTCTATATTTTAATAGTTGTTTATTTCCTTAGGTTCGGGATTGGTCGTTTTACAACGCTCAAGGAAATTGATTTTACCGCCGAAAATACGATACGACATGTTAAAAGACTTCGAGAAATGAGGTACATCTTGCTCAGTTATGATTTATTTATTTATTTGGTATGAAAAGACAGCTTATTTTACGTAATTTTCGATATATGAAAACAGATGTAGTTGTAACAAACAGAGAGTACAAATTCAATGTTGGACGTTCATCGTGATTAAAAATATACACATTAGTGGTTTTTAATAGATATTAATTATGATGTATAAATAGTAACGTTTATTTTGCAGTCCACTGTGGGAAATGGTTGAAGAGGGCATTGACCTGAAAACCATCAAATGGACTCAGCACTAATGACTATGGTACAACACCCTTAACGATCTAATTATATAGAGTCTGGACAAAAGTGAATTGTACAATAAGGATGACTGTAAGTCACATGAAGAGCGTCTCGTTAAGCAAAATACTTTTCAGCGTGTAATAAATGTTTATTTAAAATCGTCTGCTTTCATGATGTAAGGTTTGATTATATTAGTATATAAATTTCATTGATATTTCCCCTTTTCCTACTATTCTTTATTTCATTATACTTTCCCTCATAGGAAAGCTTGTCATTATAATTATTCGATACAAAAAAGTGTCTTCTCTCTTCACACTTTATCGCTGTGTATTGAGTCGACCCAAGTTATAAAACATGCTGCATCAGTGCTTGTATTTTGTCATTTAACACAAACATGATGGATCAGTAGCTTCGTCAATATATGAGATTTTAAATCTGTCTTTGTCCATTTCATGCAATTCCATGCGTGATCTATTGGCTTCTACCAAATGCTGTGCTATGTCTTCAAACATTTCATGTATTCCTTCCCCAGTTTTACATGATGTTTTATATATTCCAGAAATTAAATTGTGACATTGCTCACTGTAATGAACAGTATATGTATAATTTTTCTCAACATGCATTTACATTCTGTATACTTGTAGTATAAAATAAACTACCAAAATTGTTCCATTTCGGCATCTGTAACTTGTGGAGCTGTGCTTTCCAAGTCACTTTTGTTTCCACAAAGAAATATTTTTGCATTCTCAGCATACGTGACAATATCAAGCAAATGCTGTGATAACAAATGGAAAGATGTTGAATTATCTAATGCAAAAACTAAGATAGCTGCTTCTGCGAACTTGTAATAGCTTGATGTTACCGATGCAACTCTTTCCATTCCACCAGTATCCCATAATTGCAGCTAAAACATGAGATGAAAATAAATACTCGATAGAAGAATACGTGAAGTTGTACATAATCTAATCAATATACGAAGCGTAAGAGTGTTCTATGCAAATTTATGCATTGGAAAACTGAGATGATTAATCGCGTTTAATTCAGTTTCAAGGTTCATGAACACATATACATATAAACACATTACTCGTATTCTTCTGTCTTCAACAATATATTCTTTATCGATGTTATCGAGACCCAGTGTCGATTTTCGATCGTTGCTCGCTACAAAAGTATTGTTCGCAAAACGTCTAAATATCGAAGTTTTTCCGACACCGTATTCCCCGCACAGAATGACTTTCTGCTCGGTTACTTTAACAGTGGCCATGTTAGGCTTATATTACTTCGCCGGTCGTACCGAAATGTAAAAGTAGCAGCGTCAGTAGTAATAACAAATCATTATGCTTGCTTGCACTTTCCGCGGTGATGCAACTATTCTATTCGACTATTCGACACTCATTCGTACAGCTGTTCACAAACAATAATACGAGTCTGACAGTCGTGACAGCAGAAATATTACGCCGGTAACGGACCATGAAACACTACTAAACAACATTGTATTATAGCCACACGCATACATACATGTGTTACACATATATGTATATATTTGCAATGCGAAAAGGTAGCTCCATCAGGTGCTGCCACTCACGGTGAATTGTAATAATTATAAGTGGCGTGCGCGGGTGCGCGTGCGGCCCGTTCCGTCAGTCCTCGAGATCCTCGATGGTTCTCAGCTGTTTAGATCTCTTGTTTGACACTTACTATTTCAATGTTGCTAAGTATTTGTAACAGAATTGTTTCTGTATCGTTCTTTTCATTGTGGAAATAACGAAGCTTAGTCATGGTACTGAACGAAGTAGACAAATTTCTTAATGAATTAGAAAAAGCCGAATTGGAGGTACATTTGGTTATAGGTTATGCCGATTTCCGCGTATCGTTTTATTGAACCATTAATAAATAATTTATACATATGCTCATTTTCATTTACAGGCACCCGGTGGAATTGCAACAGCGCAAACGTATGCTCAATTATTAGCTGTATACCTCTATCAGAATGATCTGTGAGTACAAAACCATTATTTTTTACCTTTCTGTTCCCCCTTGAATGTTTATGAAAAATTACTTATTTAAAATATATTTCAATGTATATAATTGAAGGGCAATGTTTGATATATTTGTATTGCTTATTTATTATTTATATATTATGTTGATGTGATTCTTAACTTTGTATCTGTCTTTGAAAAATGTTTTTTTTCTATGCAATATTTTAATACTTATATTTCATTATGTTTATCTTTTCTTTACATGTGCATATTTATTGTTCATTGTGTGATCAATTGTGATATTTATGTTTCGTGCAGTATTTCATGCAGCATAATTATGTATTGTTATAACAAATCAGTTTTCTTTGAATGACTGTGAATCAGTTTCTACATTGTGCATATACAAACTGGATGATCTATCCCTCATTAAGTATACTATTACATTTACTTTATTTCGATACCTCTTTTTGATATATCAATATCTTGGAAACTCAATTCTTATTTAAAAGTTCGATGTTTTTCTTCATTTGGTTCAATAGAGTCTCTTACATGTAACTTGTCACATATATTAAATGTAAGAGTTCTTCAACGAAATAAATTCGTTCCCTCTAAGACATGCACGAGCGCGATTTCGATCCATTTTATTTGATCGAAATATCGCCGTCGCAGATGCAATGCCAAATACCTATGGAAGCGGATACCATGCGATCTCAAAGGCAGCAGTTCCGAACTCGCACAGATCTGGGTGGTAGGGCAACGCATGTGGCAAAGAGACTGGCCTGCAGTTCACGTTGCCCTTAATACAGAATGGAGCGAAGACGTTGCCGACATTATGGCTGCCTTAAAAGGTATATTTAGTATAAGTTAGTATTACCAGTCAATAAAATATAAGTTAATCTGTAAACGTGTATTTTTGTATAAACTAAAATTATAAGAATGAAATTTATTTAAAAATTTGTGATCAGTTGAAGTTTCTCGCATTTTTATGAAAAAATAATTGTTTTCTCAAATTTTCTCGCAATATTGATCAATTTCTTCAGGAAAGGAGCATTCAAATAACTTGGGCTTCACACATGGAATGCTCTTGATGCATGGATATCAATGCCTACTTACTCTTTCCAGATAACGTTCGAGAAAGAGCAATCACATTAATATCCAAGGCTTACTCATCGTTGGATTTAATTGTGTTTGCATCAATGACTGGTTTAACGTTGGAAGAAGCACGTCGGGTTGCCATCGAAAGAGGGTGGACAGTTGATGGCACAATGGTGCAGCCTTCGAAGATCGAAAAAGAAGAGAGTAACCTCGCTAGTGAAGTCTGCCTTACGGAGGATCAGTTGTACAAACTCACTCAATTCGTGTCTTTCTTAGAGAACTGAACAAGCAACAGCGAGTCGTCAGTCATGAAGCGCATGCAAGACTTGATCGACAGTACTTTAAATTTAGTTTTACCTCGTAATCATATTATATAAAGGAGGAAGTGTGCTTCAAAGGAGGCACCTGCGTCCCTTCCCTAAGTATATCTACCTACGCGTTCTGTCCATTCAATCGGAAGACTCATTCGATGAAGCTCGTTGCAAGCGTGGAGTCAACAACTCGATTAATCAATAAACGGTTGCTGCGTGCAGGGGGAAACTGGCATTTTCTAGAAGAACCATCTTACTCGGGGAGAAAGAGAAGAAAAGAATGAACGGACCCAGTTATGATTTTCTATCTCAATATACATACATACGTTAGGATCTACCAGTGTTCATTTTAGTATTAAAATATGCTGGAATAAATAATACTTTCGTTGAAACTAATAAACGTTACGAACCCCGTCAACTATCTTCCCTCATATAAGGCAGCCTGCTATCATTCAATATTTTCCATTAAGTATTTCTCACCTGTTGAGATCATTCTTTCAAACCGGGTATATTGATCTTCCGATGTCCTTCATTTTATTATTACATACTAATTTTTTAAATTTATCTATTATATTCATGTTTTTATTCATCATCTGAGAAATGCTCGCGTAGTCTTCTGATTTTTTAAATTCTAGGTAGAATTGCGTAACTAACATAAGATCATAAAGCTATAAAGTCGTAGCTAGGGGAAAGGGTGATCTCGAAACGAGTAGCTTCGATCGCGTGTGAAAGCAAGCGGGTGTATCGTGCCCGACAAGGCCGCTTGAAAAATTTGCGCGAGAAGATTCTGCCGTAGGCATTGCGTCACACAAATCGAATCCTCGCGGGTCAGAAAAATCGCGGACAGATAGGTATGCCCGGTTGGAGCACGGTGCCTCGTGGCCTCCGACATGCCTCCGAGTAATTCTCTCTATAAAATCGATTCTGACCGTCCCGCTTCGTAAACGCTGAATATGCACAATCGCGGGGCGATTGCGTAACGCTAGATATTCTCAAAGGAACTGTTACCACCGAGTCAGCAGGTAGCCTGCGTATGCACCCACCATCGTTGGTATCGGTTGCTCTTTTTTGGCTCCGCTATACTCTAGAAAGTTGTTGCACCGGTATCAACAATCCTACACGATACGCGAGTTTCATATCTTATATGGTGTATGTTGCTACGTGGAAATTTTCGTGGAAATCGCATAATTGAAATCTAATAATTGCGGACTTCAGTAGTTTTCTCCTTCTTCTTACAATGAACTTTTACGAACAACTTATCTAAAGCTCAGGGTCCATAATGTAATTTTTTTTATTGAGATATTTTTTATGCGTTGTCGAAGGTCGAATATTCGATGTATTCATTGTTGCGGAAACGTGGGAATAAGTGAAAAGAAAAGCCGTCGATGTATGAACCTGGAAGGCGTTCCCACGCGTTCACACCATATCAAAGTGACTATCCTAGTCGTTGTTTATGCCAAGAAGGGCGATCGGCGCAATAATTGGTATAAAAAGTGACGTTTGGTCAGCGGGGGGTTGCAAAATGTGTAGGACGTAGCTTAGGATGATGCTGCCAACCCTGCACAGTATGTACAAGAGGCTTCTTGCCATAGTGTACAGTATTCTGTTCATTGTGCCTTTGAATAATGCAGATTCATCGCCGTTCCAACGAGCGATGATTGTATCGCGATATCGCTCCGTTTCTCCTTCGACTTTTATCCTCCCTCTTTCACGACCCTATCATTGTCCAATAGACAGTGAGTGCGATTATCGAGAGAGGGTGAAGCATCCTCTTGAGAACATCGCGAATGCTTTATATGTATAAAATGTTACATGCTCTGTAATATTTCTCTATTTATCTTACAAGAATTTCAAGAATAGACGAAATTGATCGTGTAAATTATTTTCTTTTTACTTGACAAACTTCGAGGTGTGAGTTGCGAACGTTTCATGTGAAGTGAAGTAATTTCGACTGAGAGAAAATTAACCGAATCCACACGATCGGACGCTACTCCCTTGGGTGTTTACACGGTTTCTAGAAGCTTGTGCGCTCGGTACCGCCGACTATTACTAAAGAGGAGTACTAGTTTGCAACATAAAACGCGAAGGTGAGAGGCAAGAGGGAAGACCCAGGTTACCACTTACCTTACCTGACCTCCCCTCGTAAGAGTACGCGCCGGTGACTCGCGTCTTCTTTCCCGAGAGCGTAGCTGCACCGCGGCCTGTTGCGGTGACCTTTGCACGTCGCGGAAAACGCCGATGCTCCGTGAGCAGAGAGCGAGTGGCACGAATCGAACGCGACTAGTCGATTTCGAAAGTCTCATCGCCGGCGGAAGAGCCATCGGGGTACGACGACGGGGACGAGACTTAATGATGAAGAACAACTAGAAGGCCGAAGAAAAATGTTCCCCTTCGTTTAACTATCGACGTTTCTCGTTAGAGCACTGATAGATCCGTTTACACGGAGGAGTAAGGGGTGTTTCGACACCTGTCCTCCCCTTGTTCTCCATAGACAAGGACGTTGTTTGCACGAAGGGTGTTGCGTAGTATGATATAAAAAGTTTGAAGGGTGGTAAAATATTATTAACATCTATCCTACTATTATGCGTATTTTTTTTTTAAATTTTACATCATTGAATTTGAAATCACTATGCAATATCTCGTGGAAGTGTTGTTGCTTCCACATCATTTCCCTCCGTATTACGTTTCCGTCTTAAAATGAAATAATGTGCATGCCATAATGACAATATTTTATTGTATTCAATCGTCTAGCTTTAGCTTCCACATTGCGTAACACAGCAAGCCCGCCCGTCTGAGATTACATCTAAACCGTGGATTCGCTTGAATCTTTCATTGCTCATCCACGATTCTACCTTTTCCGCCCCATCGGTCAACTTTCATCTTCTTCTTACCCGATATTCAACCTGCCACTCTCGATAATACTACATTAGCGCTTACGTCATGAAAAAAGGCAGGCCTACCTGTTATCGAACTGAAAAACATTCGAATCGTCTGGAACAATAAACTGGCTAGGCCACTCTCTGCGGGGGTTGTACCGTTAAGAGTACCGCGACGTCTCTATGGTTCGAGAAGAAGGAACGAGCAACCGATGAAAGAGAGGGAAAAGGCACAATTGAATGTTGGCGGACCCGTGGGCGAGACGCGGTTCGATTGTTTCTTTATCGCGATCATCCTCGCTCCTTCTTCTACGGGGCAATGGCAATCTTACCACCGATACCGCACAATCATTCCGTACGTCAGAGGATCTCTATATTCTGCATCGCGGCCTGTATCATTGTCCTTGTTGCGTCGCGCGACGAGCGACGTTGGTTCGCGCCGCGTACTCGGTGGGTGCGCTCAGAATGCACCTTCTCCGCGGCATTCCACGCGGAAAGGAAACCGATCGTTACCTTTTGCACAATTGCATCTTGCGGAACGTAACGGTGATCGGTCGGGGGATCATCGATTCGTTTCGATCAAGACACCCCCGCAGAGCGTTCGAGCGCAACTTTTAAAATCTGTTCCCCGGTCGTGGCATTTCCAATGAGATATTTACAAACTAAATCTCCGGTGCTTGGCTTCGTGAGAAACGAATTTTGGGGAGCGTCCGAGCAATCTGTATTCTAATAGATTTTAGGAGAACAATAACACGGACGAATGATAATCTCGCGGTTGCTGTCTGTATCGCGTGGACTTTCAGTTCTAGATCCTTTGTCTGGGAATGCTTGATCGAGGTATTCCCAACCTGAAATCTAATACGCAACAATGCTTTCCCGCGGTTCGCACTCGTTGGTCCCGGCCACCACCCCTTGTGTCCCAGCCTGCCAGATTGCAGTCGATCAACGATAATCGAATTATTTGTGGCTAAGAAATACATATTTCAAATAAGGCGTATTACGCGGTTTAAAAAACGAATAATCGGCCTGTTTACGTAACAAGGATGGGAGAAGGAAAGAAAGGCTGAACTCGCAACACACTTGAATTTAGTCTGCATTAGAAATTCGTGACTACCGACAAGAAATTAACTATGACACGGCATCGAGACAAATGCTCCACTAAAGTTTCACTGCCACCTTGATTGACACTACAGTCCTATTTCGGTCTGCAAAAATGTCTAGTTGTAACTTTAGAAAAATCAGAACTCTGGCTGTAAAAATCCTGTGAGTGAAACATAGTTGATTCTCTTATACGTGATCCTGGAACCTACAGTAACACCACTTTCCTTATTTGAGCACGATTACACATAGAGAAATAAAGAAAATAAATAACATCTACTTAGCTAATTTCGACTCGGGCATTCGACTTGCAGGACAGGAGTCGTCTAGACACTTGCAACTCTGATCAAGAATAGAACTCGTTTCGTCGACTGGTCTAGCTATTACTTCGCCTGATTTTTAATATCCGAACCACTTACACTAATTTTTGCATGGGAACTATGATGCTATTACATAATTGTTACGTTATCAAAGTACGTGTACAAAACTTCATCGACGACTTTTCACGAAGTTTCTCAAAAAGTCTTGAAGGATATACCAATCTTAAAGTCAATTACGGATCACTTGATTTCCCATGCAAAGTGAAGGGAATCGTCTCGAAATCGCTTGGAATCCCGATCGGGCACGAAGCTTTTCCAAGGGTTACGATCCTCGGAGCCGATAGTTCCTTCCCTCGGTTGCATCGGTACGGTGGCATAGCACTCGTGGCGGCTGCATGGCGCAGCGTGCGCGCATGGCGGGCGCAGACTTCTGGGATTTCGCAACAACTGCACTCTCGCCACTCCGGAGATAAAGAGAAATACCTGAGGAGGTGCAGGTGAGGTAAGGCGCGCAATGAGGCGGCGAGGGGGAGAGGAGGAGGAAGATAGCTTCTCGCCGACTGCGACCTAACACAAGAGTTAGAGAGGAATCGGCGAGAAGAGAGACAGAGGAGAGCGTTTAAACGGGAGAGAAGGCAGAGAACGGAATATGGGATCACCTAAGGTTAGGGTTCGCGATGCTGCGCCCACGTACCTATTGTCTCTAACTTTCGTGCGCTGCGGGAAAAAGGACGCGAGTTGCCTACGGTGTATGCCGCGGCGTGCCACGTGCATCGTCGACCCTTTCTACCCATGGGATGCTCCGATATTCTATTTCCTTGAGAGACAGAGAAGGATGCGTTCGTCGAGCACGTGAGGCCAAGCGTCTCGTCTTGCAATTCTATCAAATTTTAGTATCGCACGTCAAAATGTTCACATGTATCGGATTTAACCGAATTTTACCCTACATCGATACTAGGAAGAAACAAATATTTCTGAAACGACAATAGTCCTTTCGCACAATTTGGCACAAACGTGAATTTTATTTTTGCGTTTGATTCTTGACAAACTGAAGGGCCATTCAATTATTTATAAGTGATCGTGGGAAATTTCTTCCTGTGACAAGTGATGGCAGAGTTGCTGAA